GTTTTTGTTTGTTTGTTTGTTTTGTTTTTGTTTTTTGGAGACAGAGTCTCGCTGTGTCACCAGGCTGGAGTGCAGTGGCACAATCTCGGCTCACTACAATGTCAGCCTCCCGGCTTCAAGTGATTCCCCTGCCTCAGCCTCCCAAGTAGCTGGGACTACAGGCACACACCACCATGCCCGGCTAATATTTTCCCTGTTTTTAACCTTCTGAAAGGTGTAGGCAGAAAATACAGCCTTCTCTCTTCAACAAGCCAACAATGTTTTTTGTTTTCTTTTTTTGAGGCAGGATCTCTGGTGCCCAGACTGGAGTGCAGTGGCGCCATCCTGCCCCACTGCAGCCTTCATTTCCTGGGTTCAGGTGATCCTCCCACATCAGCCTCCCTAGTAGCTGGGACCACAAGTGTGCACCCCCACATCCAGATAGTTTTTTTTTGTTTTTTTTTTTTTTTTTTTTTTTTTTTGGTAGAGATAGAGTCTCACTATGTCACCCAGGCTGATCTTGAACTCCTGGTCTCACGTGATTTGCCCGCCTTGGCCTCCCAAAGTGCCGGGATTACAGGCATAAGCCTGCCCGCTGGCGCAAGAAGTCGAGTTGCTCGTGTCCAGCAGTGGTGTGCTGTACCAGATGGGCGTCTTTAAAAGTGGCTAAAATAGACCGGAGTTGGTTGGGTGGGCTTTGACAGTGACATTCTCTCGCCACCTGCTTCCCAGGTGACCTCAGCCAACACCCATCATTCTGACCACAAGCCAGCTCCTGATCAAATTTCTGAAACTTCCAAATGATGGAATTGAGACTGACTTTTTTTTTCAAGTCATGGAACCCTGCTGTTTTAAGTTATTTTTGTGTCTAACTCAGCACTTTCCATTTAGAATCTATTTTACAAAGGAAAAAAAATATCAAAACAAAATAAAACCAACAAACCTGAGATAGATGGATGGAGCAACAGGGCTGACCAGCTTTGGAGCGCCTCTCAGCCACCTGTCTCAGCATACACAGGGGTACAGTCGGCCATCTGCTGACAATTGAACATGAGTATCTGGTTATCTCTCACACAAAAAGCACATGATCAGAAATGCCGTGTTCCTGATTTTCTCACTTTGGCTTAAGCAGCTGGGTAAGAGATGAATATAACACTCTTCTAAAAGGACAACAGAGGGAAGGAATATTGGTAACTGTTGTGTAACTGTCTTGGGCCATGCTTTATTATGTATGATCTTATTCACTGCTTGCAGCAATCTCACTGGTTGGACTGCATTGGCTTCATTATTTACAGAAGGGAAACCGAGGCAAGTGGGTAAGTTATTCACCCAAGGTCCACGATATGTGGCAAAGTAGGATTTACCTCCGAGCCTTCTGACACCAGAACCCACCCTCATTTCTCACGTTCCGAAACAGCAGAATCTGTCCAACACTGACCACTCTCTCTAGCAGTTCTGAGCTCCCACCACAGGTGCAGGGCAAAGGGGACTCCCCATGAGGCCTGTCCCACAGCTGGGAGTTCCACAATTGGGGTATATGAAGTACCGCCTGTGGGGAGCCCTCCTGCTGATTTCAAATTCATTAATTATACATGCTTTTACTTGTGGCCTTTATTTGTTTGTTAAGAATGGGGCTGAGGGAGTTTGTGATGCGTAGACCATAACCTTGCCTTCAAGAGTTCTCTGTCCAGTGGGAGGTGGACATCCAGTTACGCACACCATCCTGACTCCTTTCTGGAACAGAAGTCTGGGGTATGGTCAGCAGAATGATGTCCTCTCCAAGCATGTCCACGTCCTAAGTCCTAGAACTTGTGGATGGGTTGCCATTCATGGCCAAAGGGACTTTGCAAGTGTGATTAAGGATTTTGAGATGCGCGGAGTGGCCTGGATTAGCCAGGGGAGCTAGTGTCATCACAAGTGCCCTTCTAAGAGCGAGGCTGGAAGGTGAGAGAGAGATTGGAAGGTACCACACTGCTGGCTTTGAAGAGCGGAGAAGGAGCCATGAGCTCAGGAATGTGGGTGGCCTCTGGAAGCTGGAAAAGGCGAGAAAACAGATTGTCCCCTAGAGCCTCCAGAAGAGGTGCATCTCTGCCAACACCTCAGTTTTAGTCTAGTGAGATCTCGGAAACTGTATGATAAGTTGGTGTTTTCAGCCACTGTGCTTGTCTTGTGGTAATTAGTCACAGCAGAAAGAGGAAACTGACTTGAAAAGGCATTAAATAAATATCTGAAGGGAGACAGAGGAAAGAGGGGTGCAGAGGCTGGAGGGTACCGCTCTGACCCGGGGGGCGGGAGGGCCCATGTGGGCCCCACAAAAGGCTGTGTCCAGATTCCCTCCTCTTTCCCCAGTGATTTGCATGAAAAGGCTCATCACATTCACATGTGCCCTAAAGAGAGGAGAGCGACATATGCCCAGAAAGCTCCACAGGGTGGGAGAGGGGGTCAGATCCCACGCGTGGAGTCCAGGGAGGCGTCTGTCTTGTCTGAGCATCCAGCGGCATGGTCCTGGCAAGGGAGGAGTGACATGAGGTGAGTGGGAAGGGACGGGAACACGGGTTAATTCTGGGGAGCCTGCCAGGGACCACCGGAGAATGTGGGGGCAGAACAAGCCCCCGCAACCTCACCATGCCCAAGAGGAAGGAAGCACTACTTCCCACCCTAAGCCTGCTTTCTAAGAGGCCACCAGGTGGCTTTACCTTGGTCCGGGAGCCCTTCTGTTGTGGACAGGCCAGGCAAGGGCACTGACGGTGTCGCCTAGGCAAGGGGAAGCTGACCATTAGCTGGTATGTGCCTGATTCACCTGCACCCCATCCACCTGCAAGTCTTTCATTTCCACTTATAATCATATTTTTAGCATAAAAAACTGTTGTTATATTCTTGTTTGCATTGGTCATTATATTTAATTTAAATACATTAATGGAATACATTATACATATAAGAAGTACTTATATAAAAATGTACCCCTCAAGGGGTGAACCCAGCATGGTAACCTGCAGCCCCCACGATGAAACTGCGCCTGGCCTGCTCTGAGCCCCACAGCAGTCCCTCCCAGTCACTGCCCTCCCAAGGTCAATGACTGCCCTGTTCTGTCCCTCAAGGACAGCACCATGTTAGGAATACAGGTGCCGAGTGCCTTCTGGCAGAAGAGAAGCAGATGCTCAGGGACCACCTGGTGACCTGGTATTGGTCATTCTTTAAGAAGAGCTTTGTGAGACTCAAGGTGGGCCAGGGAGCTTCTAAACAGCAGCTGCCCAGGCACCTGTGTGCCTCCCATGTTCCAGGAGCCTGACCCTGGAGCCCATGGGGCTGCATGCAGAGCAGGGAGTGCCTGGTCTCAGAGTCAGATGCTCCTGGCTCTCAACCCTGATACCACCACAGATTAATGCTATGGCCTTGACCTCTGCTTATCCAGCTATAAAACGGGGTTACAGTAGTAGCCTCCGCCCGGACAGTTGAGTGATTGAGAGTATTTTACTATCTCTAGCACAGCCCCTGACCATAGCAGGAGCTCCGCAGAGACTACTGTCTCATGCACCCAATGCAGGCATCACTGTGTCGTGTTCATTCACTCAGGCTCCCTTCAAAAGAAACATCGATTATGGGTCAAATAGGTGTCCGTGCCAGCCTGGGAATGCACATCCACGTTCTGCCTCTGGAGAGGGCCTGGGGGAGGCTGGGAAGCCTGGACATGGGCCTCCTGGGCTGGGGCAGGGAAGGGCTTCCTCTTCACTGCTGTGTCTAGGATCACCCCCTCCCTTGGAGTACCCCACCTCCCACCTGAAGTCTGCGCAGCAGAGAACATTTAGAAACAGAAATAAGTTCTGATCCATGGATGCAAACATTCTGGCATCCCATGTGCAGTGGTGTGCAGCGTGGGCAGTGGGAATTAGGGTCACTCTTCTGGGATATTTGTTCCTATCCACCGGAAGGTGTACACTGTTCATACTCATTGACTCAGAAATGTTGGCGGCTTTACTTTAGTCTGGGAGCCCTTCGGTTAGAAATAACAATGTGCGTATAAGGATGCATGTACATGCTAATGGATGTACAAGGATGTTCATCAGTGCATGATTTTTCATGGGAAAAGTGGAAATTGCTAAATCTCCAACTCAAGAAGAATGGTTAAATTTTGGTTTATGTTCGTGATAGAATAATACACAACTGTTAAAATGGAATTTTGATGGCCATTTTAATAGAGGGATTAGAAAACAAATTTAAATGTGTTCTCTCTCTCTCTCTGTCTCTCTCTCTCTCTCTGTCTCTCTCTCTCTCTCTCTCTCTCTCTCTCTCTCTCTCTCTCTCTCTCTCACACACACACACACACACACAGAAGAAAAAAGATTAGAAAGAAAAACTATCAAAATGTTAGCAATGATTATGTGGTGGGATCATGATTCTCATGTTTTATCCTGTATTATATTTTCTTAGTGTTCTATGCTAAGCATATACTATTTTTAAAATTAGAAGAGGGGCTGGGCGTGATGGCTCACGCCCGTACTCCCAGCACTTTGGGAGGCCTAGGAGGGTAGATCACCTGAGGTCAGAAGTTTGAGACCAGCCTGGCCAACACAATGAAACCCCTTTTCTACTAAAAATAAAAAATACACACACACACACACACACACACACACACACACACACACACACACACAAGGAATGAAGGCATTTTACAACTCTACAACTCATTGTCGCAGAGGAGCCTGGCATGAGGGGAGGGGAATGGCTGGAGGGGTTGCTGTGAGTGCTGGAGTCACCAGCTAGCTGTCGGGTGAGTTCCTTGATGCTTTCACAGTAGCGTGGGCATGAGAACGTCTGCCTCAAAAGGATGCTGTGCACACTAAGTTTTATCGATTACCATATGCACCATCCATTAGAAAAATCGCAAAAGCAAAGCCCTGTTTTGCGGTCAGTAGAAGTGGTACCTTCATGTGGGGTTGTTTAACCATGTCACTTTCCTTTTGGAGGGTACATCTGCCCAAGCCCCCGTGGCCCTGGATAATTCTCTCTCTCCTTCTTCGCAGCTGCCCATGATGGGAGGAGCTTTCATGGACTCGCCCAATGAGGACTTCAGCACCGAGTACTCCCTGTTTAATTCCTCTGCCAATGTCCACGCGACCTCCAACGGCCAGGGCCAGCTGGAAGATCCTCCTCGATCCTCCAACGACGCCGTCTTGCTATGGATTGCCATCATAGCCACGCTGGGGAACATCGTGGTGGTGGGCGTGGTATACGCCTTCACCTTCTGAGGATGGCACACTCTGCACCACCATGGGGTGAGGTTTGGCATATGGGTCTGTCTTGCTGTTGGCTTTTAGCTGCTCCCATGTTCTAGAACCAGGAGTTCTGACCAGGGGCAGTGGCCATCCTTCTGGAATTTCCCCCTGGGAGCCCTGATTTCAAATATCCCACGTTGTGGTCAAACTGAGTCAGAAAACATGGAAGTATGGGCCTCCTGCTCCTAGAGGCATGACGGGGCAAGGCCTTCAGAAGGCAGATTGGGGATTCTTGAAATTACATTCCAAGAACAGGAGACCAGATGGAGCAGCTAGTTAGGTTTAAAACATAGACATGGTTTGATGATCGCCTGCTGGTGGTAAACAATCACTTGTGTGTCTTGTTTTTATTCAAACTTATCAAACCTAGGGCTTGATGGGGTGCTGGGGCAAGAGCAGCCCTCAGAATTTCAGCACTCCCCACCCACTTCTGGTTTCATATTCAGAACTGGCCATCCGATAGGGCCATTGGATGGTCCTAATTTGACTTTGAAACGTCACCTTTGTCATGAGACACCCAGCCCTTTCCAAGACCCAAGTGCATCAGGAGACCCAGGAATGGGGGTTTACTGGTAATAGGGTGGGGTTTCTAGGGGTGTCAGTGGTGGTTTTTACCTGCTGGTCGGACTTTTTCTTCTTTTTAAGAAGAGGAGAGGATGCCTTTAAGAGGTAGATCTGCCAAGTTGTGGACTCTTCAGGCCACCCATGTGAAGATGTTCTTTCTTCTCTGAGGAATTGTGGAATTTTAGAGATGAACAAGGTTCGTGTCCACTGAATGATTCAATGGATGGGCCAGAAAGGGGGGTAATTCACCTGTGGTAGTTCGTGGAGGAGTCAGAACCGAAGGATGCGTCTTCACTCCAAGCTCACTGCTCTCTCTGCCCCAACTAAGCACTTTCCTGAGGAGGTTCCTGAGAAGCTGCCCTCAGGAGAATGTCCAGGTACCTTGAAGGTGGGTGCAGGCTTGGCAGGCCGCTCAGATACCCGTCTTTTACGCTCAGCTTGGATACCGTGCATTCTCCTCCAGCTGTGAGTGCTTCTGCCCAAGCCACTTCCTTAAATTCTTAAAAATCAGCATCTTGGGGGACTGGCAAACAAGGAAGCTTCCAAGTAAAAAAACATAGAGAAGGGCCCACTTTTCTTTCTTCCTTAGGAAGTCCCATTGCACAGGACTCACCCCCACCCCCCACACCTTCCCAAGGCAACCTTCCCAAAGCAACCTTCCCATGCAGATGGATCCGGAAAGGTCCCAGAAAGGGGCTTAATCACCTCTAGGCCCAGAGAGGTTTTCTCCTCACTTTCTACACTGCAAAAACAGAAAAATCACATCAGTAACCCCCTCTGCGATAGAGACATTTAAAAAGCTGGTTTGGAAGCCCTGTGTGTATTTAGGGACAATTACAAAAAAGCTGGACTTGCCACTACGGTCTCAGGAGAAATGAGTGTTCTTGATGACAGGCAGAGGGACATCTTAGTGGTCTGGAAGCGGCACTCTTCTCTGGAAGCCGCCATGATAATAGGATTACCAACCTGGCTCCACACAATGCCTGCTCATGGCCGCCAGTTCTTACTGGTCACATCCATCACTGCCGCTGTATATCATCTGCCAGCTTCAGCTTAAGAGGAGGTCACAAGTGCAAAGAAACTGACCTTAACAATGAGGGAGAAGGGACATGGATCGTCTCCCTGGAACTCCTGGAATCGCTGACAGGGCGGAGGGTGGGCTGGGCATTTAGCCATGGTGTGCATGGGTGTTTCCAGCAAGTCTCTCTCCATCAAACCCCAGGTCTGCCCCATAAGCAAGGTCTTTAACAGATGGATGTCTCCATGAAAAAGCCCAAGGAGAGAAGCCCAGGGCCAAGGCGGGGTTGCTTGATGTCTTCATGGAGTCACTCCTGCCCACATGCTCAAATCTTCCCTTCTGACCCCACATCCCTCGGAGGGCCTGGCCCCTGTAAAGATGCAGGACAGCTCTCTGGCCTCCAGTGGCCCATGGAGATGGCAGTTGGGAGAGAGGGTTCTGTGTTTGCTCCAGTGAAGGGAGGAGAAAGCAGGAGAAAAGAATGGCTTCTAGCGTGGAAGACGACTCCAACATCCCAGGCGCTGGGTGCTTCTGGCTGCAGGAGTTTTCCCTGTGGAGGCCCCTCAGCCTCCACCCCCTGACCTAAATGTCAGTTACATTCAGTATTCAAGCCTCTCTCCCTCTTCAGTGTCAGAGCGGTAGATGATCCAGGGTATTGGAGACTCGTCCGCTTTGTATTGCACAGATGACAGTGACTTCCTCGGGCTCGTTCCATCTTGGTCTCCTATGGTTTCTTTACCAACTTCTTACCACCATCTCTCAAATAACAGTGAGGATGGATATGCCCGTTAGTGTCCGATTAAGGAGCAAAGGATGGATTTCCAGACAGAGCGAGCTGCGCTCTCCCTCCTGCTTCAGCGAGGGGTCCATCTTAGTAGTTCGGAAAGGGAGAAAAGATGCCAGTCCTCACTGCTCGAGTATTGTGTCCAGGTGCCACTGGACTTGCGTGCACATTAACTCCTTACCATCACCACACAGCATCATTGTCCCAGTGCACAGGTAAGAAACTAGAGGCTCAGAGGAGTGAAGTCACCTTCCTGAGCTTACATGCATGAAAGTGACGAGCTAGGATTTGAACCTGGGAAGTTGGGTTCTAAAACCAGGCTCCTTCTGCCACACTATACTGCCTTCTGCGACTGGGTGGCACCTCCAGGGCACATTTACACCAGGCCTTGAATCTGCAGAGTCTGTTTCTCAGGATGCTACATCATGGTGTGACCTGGGCCAGCTCTGGCTTCCACAGGTTCCTGACCGTCAGCAGAGTAGAACACGCTCAACGTCCCGCTCAGTGCGCTCTCTGTCCAGACTTCAGGGGTGCTGGTCCCCGAGACCTGCCCCTTCTTTAAGGTTCAACTCAAGTCTCCTTGGAAAGTCCCAGTGAAGTTCCCAGAGACTGGTTTTCTTGAAATGCAAACAGAAGGGGACCCCCCCAACCTGGCCAACACCCAGAAGCCCAACAGAAGCACTCACACATAGAAAGAGGCTCACTGCAGCTGGAACTGCAGAGTCAGAGTCCTGGGACCATCCTGTTCTGCAAGGTGAGCCCAGGCTCCCCAGGGCAGGTGAGAGGGATCCCCCTCGCTCAGACTTTAGCTGGGACCTCTGTTCTGGCTTCTCCCTGGGTGGGGTTGACCCCAGAGCCCACCTAGATTTGATGAGTCAGTGCTGAGAAGAGGCTTGCCTGTTAAATAGCTGCACCTCAGAGAAAGGGTCCTGCATTTTCTGGAATGTTCTCTCTGATCACTCCTCTGTGTGCCCCTCCACTGCTCCTCTGCAAGCAATTAGGTGTCCCTCACCTGTGTTTGTGTGTGGGACACTTTTGATTCAAAAGAACAACTTAGGCTGCACGCACCGGCTCATGCCTGTAATCCTGGCACTTTGGGAGGCCAAAGTGGGCAGGAACAGGAATTGGATACCAGCCTGGCCAACATGACAAAACCCTCTACTACAAATACAACAATTATCCAGATGTGGTGGCGTGTGCCTATAATCCCAGCTACTCAGGAGGCTGAGGCAGGAGAATTGATTGAATCAGGAGGCAGGGGATGCAGTGAGCCGAGATTGCACCACTGCACTCCCTGCAGCCTGGGCAATAGAACGAGACTCTGTCTAAAAAAAAAAAAAAAACTTGCTGCTTTGTGAGGTTTCGAGTGGCTGCCACTGGAGGTCTTTGAGAAGAAGCCAGACACTGCTGTGGCCAGGCCTGTCTTAAGAGGACTTGTGCCTCCAGGGGCCCAGGCAGGATGACGGCGCAGCTCTTCCTACTGCACACCAACGCTGTCCTTCACCTTTCCCGTGAAACCAAGGTCAAGAGGCAAATAAGACTCCCAGCTCCACTCCACCCACCAGAGAGAAATGATTCTCTCTCCTTTCAGATCCCCCAGGGTCTGAGGGAGAAAGGATAGGAGGAGGGGCAGCAGCACTTCCCTGGAAAGGCAGCAGACACTTTTCCAGCCCGGGCTGAGCTGGAAGTCTTGGAGGCCCGCCAGACCACGCTGGCGTATCCTCGGGTGGGTCCCTGGAGACTGAAGAAGGTCGGTCAGTCTGCCTGTTGTCAGCACTGCTGCCTGAGCCCTGCAAGACAAATGGCACATTCCTTCTTCAGAAGCAAGACCTGCCTACGAAGCAGTAGTATTATCACCAGTTACTGTTCTTCCTGCCGCCAGCTTTGCCCCACTTTTTGTTGCTCTATTTGTATCTCATTTATTTCTCAAATTGCCCCTGGGGACAGGAATGAGGATGCAGAGAGATGCACATTAATTATTGTCGCATTTTTCTGTGGAAAAAGTTGAGGCCAGGGCTGATTGCTCGTAGCTAAGAAGCTATGATTCAGACCCAGTTTTTCAGCTCCAGAGGCACCCTGTGTCCATGCCCTCCAGGGTCCGCTTAGGATGGACCATCCAGGGATATGAGACCTCAGAGACTGGGGCTGAGGTTTGGTTTGGTCCTCAAGAGCTTGTAGCCAGATTGCCACAGACAAGTGTAAATCCAGGAAAGCGGCAGGCAGCAGTGCACATGGATTTGTCGGTTTCAGAACCTCAGACTGATCAGAGGCTATAGAGAGCATCTAATCGGGACCTTTAATTTTTCTGGGAGAGCAGCTGAGGCCACGTGGAAAATTAGTGGAGAGCTGACAGGTTTCTGGGCGTCTGGCCCAGAAGTCCGTGATCCAGCACATTGTGAATTCGGTGGGAAGCAAAGGGCTTTCCCGGGATCACCTGCCCCGGTTCCGAGGTGGGTTGTACTCACTGCAGCTGCCACCAGCCCCCTTTGCTGCTTCCTGGCAGATGCCCAGTGATTGTCCCTGAGCAAGTCCTAGGGTTCGGCTGAGCTGCTGTGACAGGGAGGTCTAGGGAGCTCCACTCAGGGGGCCAAAGGGACCAGTCAGAGCCTGAATGCTCTATGTTCACCTGCTCCAGCCCCTCCCACCCTGGCCCACTCCATGGGCCCCTGACCTTGGTCACTCAGTGAGAAGGATGGAGGAGAAGGTGGTTGAACTGAGTACTGAGAACCCAGAGGGACAGAGTCTGCAGCTTCCAAGCAGGAAAAGCGACCTCTCTGAAAGATCTGGATAACCAGAATTATCACAGCACCCACGTACTCCCAGTGCGTCCTTCTGAGATCGAACCTTGAGCATTTACTGGGTTTCTTTTTGAGGAGGAGAGAAAGTAACAAAGGACAAAGCAATGCAAACCATCATGATTGAAGATGAGGAAAGACTCCCCCGGAGCGAGAAAACGGTTACTGCCAGAAGC